TAAAATTAAAAATAATTAGATAAGTATTAATTAAAAACTATCTCAGGTAATTTTTTTTAATTTGCTAACAATTTGGATCCTAATAATTATTTTCTAATTCCAAACTTTAAAATAAAAAATTTTATCAAATACTTATTTTATAACAATTTCGAAATGAATAAATTTACTGAACATTTATTTTTAATAATTTAAATAAAATCGCTAATCACTTCTCCAAACTGCTATATCAGATGGGTCATAAAATCACTACAAGTTGGAGGATTTGCATATAAATAAAGCACTCAACAAATATAATTTCAACATTTAATAAGTTGGATTCCAAATTTAATAACTTGATAATATAACCAAAATAATTAAGTTATAATGTTCCATATAATAAGTTATCAAATAAATAGTAGAATAATTGGAATTAATTGGAGTTAAGAATTCTCAAATTTTTGTAAGTATTAAGTAAAGGGATCAAGAAAAGTGAGTAGCGTTATAACAATTAAATTACCATAAATGATAATAAAAAGATTAAAATATTTTTAATAAATTAATGTGAAAAAATTTATTAAAAATATTTAAATAAACATAAAATTTCTAATATTTAAAATGACAAAATATCCTAAGTTTTTTTTTTAAAGAATTTACTAAGATTTCTTAAATGACCTGATGATAAACTTGAAAGTATTGGGCTTGTTGCCACCCATTTTTTCCACGGTGTTATTATAATAAAGCATGTGATTTGGGCTGCACCTAGTCTTGTTTCGGTCTATGAATGAAATTTTTGGGCCTGCCGTGTTGAGCAAGAATTTGGGCTCAGCAGTTATGTTCGGTACATGGAAAAATTCTAACGGCCAGTACGAATCTTTCCCTTAGCGACGGGATCGATGACTCAAAACTCATACCAGAAATCTATTATTTTTTTAACTTCAAGATGCTGATGTTGGAGAAGTGGAGATAATATTGTGCAAGGCCATTATGGAATTTAGAAAATGGAAATTATTAGAAATTCTTAGCTGTGTGAATTGATAACGTTGAATTCATTTTCTGATTTCTTAGCTCTGTTTAAAGAATCTATTTTCTGTACCAAAAAAAAAAAAAATAATAATCTACCTCCTTATTATTATTAGGAGAAATAGGGGTCCTACGTATTTTGTAATTTTATGGTGATATGTGTTGCAGTTTGATTACTAAATTTTAGAGAAATAATTCTTTCATTGTTTCAGTTTTCTAACTCTTCCTGCCTGCCAATTGCTTTGAGCAATTTTTTTCCTTTTTCTTTTTTTTTTTATTCAAATTTAATGACTTTATATAATATATTGTAAGAAATTATTCTTATGTCTCAAAATAAATTTTTTATTTTGA